AAGTCATATCTTTCCTCTTTATAATATTAGTGTAGAAAAAAACAGCAATGTTTAAACGCCTGACCAAATTGTAATAGCATTACGTCTATCGTCGTCTGTGTAAAAACATAGACAGATACGTATAAATTCGGATAACTATAAATGAATGATCAGGTGCTTTAATTTTTATAAAATACATCTTTATTGAATGTAACACCCACTTTTCACTATTTATGTTATGAGTCCATGTAATAGGGGGTGAGCCTATTGCCATATACCGGGCACAATTCCAGGCTCCGTGCAGGGTACAAATAAACTTTCTTTGGAAAAACTTCAAAAAAAAAACTACAGCTGTGATTTTTTGAAAATGCGACTCAACATTCCGTTACCCGACCTAAGAAAGTCAAAGTCAAAGTCAAAGTCAAAGCATTTATTTCAATTAAACCATAGTTTGGTACTTTTGAAACGTCAACAAATACAAAATAAATAATAGTCTGTCAGTCAGTCCGTCAGTGAAACTAGGTGAAGCTAGGTGCTCATTCCAAAAAGTAGATTCGAAAGGAGAAGTACGAGCAAGAAACTCCATTCGTACTTGTAACGCCTCTGGTGTTCCAGGTGTCCATGGGCGACGCCGATTGCTTACCATCAGGTGATCCGTCTGCTCGTTTACCGGCTTACGCCATAAAAAGAAATTGGTACTTTTGAAACGTCAACAAAAAAAAAATAGTCTGTCAGTCAGTCCGTCAGTGAAACTAGGTGAAGCTAGGTGCTCATTCCAAAAAGTAGATTCGAATGGAGAAGAACGAGCAAGAAACTCCATTCGTACTTGTAACGCCTCTGGTGTTCCAGGTGTCCATGGGCGACGCCGATTGCTTACCATCAGGTGATCCGTCTGCTCGTTTACCGGCTTACGCCATAAAAACAAATTGGTACTTTTGAAACGTCAACAAAAAAAATAGTCTGTCAGTCAGTCCGTCAGTGAAACTAGGTGAAGCTAGGTGCTCATTCCAAAAAGTAGACTCGAATGGAGAAGAACGAGCAAGAAACTCCATTCGTTACTCTTTTTAAAGAATTAAACCATTCGTAGGTAGTAATAGTTATATGTGTAAACTAATTCATTGACTGCCCTCATTACTTTCAAACCACGTGTCCTTCTATATTTGATCAAATGTTTCTAGGAAATCCAATAATACACGGCCCTCGGACGTCCTCTGTTACCCCTGTGTAGCTCTCTATCGATCCGTTGTACGGACGTCATAACGACATTTTAACAAGCGACTTTAAAATGGACACAACGTACATCACGCCTTTTATCCCCGGAGGGGTAGAGGTGCACATTACGGCACTTTATGACACTGTACAATGTAACACCCATTTTTCTCTATTTATGTTATGAGTCTCATGTAATAGGGGGTGAGTCTATTGCCATATACCGGGCACAATTCCAGACTCCGTGCTATTACTGAGAGTTATTTTAAAAAGCTCAGTAAGACTTTGCCCGACCCACGAATCGAACCTGAGACCCCTTGCCTGGCAGTTGCACTTGCGAGCAGTCGACCAACAAGGCACGTAGTTTATCTACTAATAGAAGGTAGGGTGCATACTTTGTTAAGGTATTTATTTGCTCTTCAGTATCAACCATTGGGTGATGCAGAAGTGTGCACATCATCATCATCATCATATTCACATCATTATCATCACATCAACAGCCTATTTTAATACCTACTGCTGAGACAAGGCCTCTTCTGATATGAATAAGGAGCATGGGCATTACAACCACGCTTTTCAAAGCAGACTTACTCTTGAATCCAATTCCGATCGATCGACATTGGTATTGTGTCGTACTCTTGAGTTGCATCACTAGCGCCCATTGCATCCGTATTGCGCGGAAATTGAATGAATTAAATGATATTGAGTTTGACTTTATATTCCGTACTCTGAATGCTATTTGAACAGCTACGATTGCGGTTGTATAGTGTTGATATTGAATAATTATTGAGATTTTATTAGATTGATATTGCATTGACATTGAGATTGGATATTGGATTTATTAGTGAACATTTTTAACAGCTAAGAAACTGAAAAATAGGTATAGAAGCCAGAACATAGCATAGGCATGTTATCAGCGTCTCTCTTCTAATTCTTCTGTTTTAATTTTTCAACTCAATGTTTTTATTACTTCCACTTCCACTGTCACACCTTTATTGTCTTTTTTTTATATATTACTAGCTTTTTTTTTTTTTTTTTTTTTCTATCGCGATTGAAATCCTCATGACTTCCCGCGTCGTGGGGACGACGAGGGGGCGTGCCGGACTCTTACCGGCTAAAACCACCGCGGTGTTCCTTCACTGCCTGTGACCGTGACCCGGGTTGCCCTTACGGAATCACCACATACTTTTGTTTTCCCTTGGGAATATCAATTTTTCCGGGATAAAAAGTAGGTACCCTATTATTTAATCCGGACTTCTAATTTTACGTCTGCAAAAATTCAAAGCAATCGATTTAGTAGTTACGGCGTGAAAGCGGGACAAACAGACAAACTCACTTTCCGATTTATAATATTAGTAAAGATTTATGCTGCATCGTGCCTGGTGCTTAATTAAATGTTTTTTCCTTCTTTCTTTCTTTCTTTCTAACAGTTGAAAGTCTCAAACATCATTTCAAAGAAGAAAAAACCTTATTTCTTTTTCCCAGTTTTAAAATCAATCGTGGGAATTTGGAAGTGACGACGCTTTATACGGTTTCACAAACTCATCCGGCTAAGAATAGAAAATTGTAGAGCTATAATCGTGCCTAGTGTAGCCTAAGTTCAGGTAGTTTTATTTTGTTGTAATAAGATAAAACTACTCACAGAAAATTTTAGTTTTAGCCGTGAAGGCTCACTACGTCATTAGGTACTTTCCCGCGCATTGTACATAAACAAAGTAAGTTGGTTCCGGAAAAAATATAAAATACGTAAATGTTGTTTCATGTAAAACATTTCCTTAATAATAATAATTTATGCTTTATTTTACACCACACAATCGTACTACAGGACAATATTACCTTACAAAAATAGTATACAATGTGCGGTCTTATCGCACAAGGCGATTTCTTATAGACAATCTTTGGATGGAGCAGCAACAGGAGTCTGATACCGAACCGATTAAGGAGGGCATCGAATGTCAAAGACTGGGTTCAGAAAGTTAGATCCGAATCCGATACAAGGAGGTGGAGAAACGTCTTCAAGCCGCCCTAGTTTTTGTGCCTTAAACTGTCCAACACCGCGAGGACACCGGTGACCGCAACCTATTGTTAAAGGTTAATGATATGGGGGATATATATGCCTTAATTAATTTTGATATTCAATTTTTTATACGTATTAAAATCTTTATTGCCTCTTTAATCAAGTGATCACAAGGGCTGGTTGTCATTGGTGACACGCAACCTAAAGGATCTGTGGTTCGGAACCCTTGTTAAGGTTATTGTTGTAATTTACGTTATGAATTATGAAAATCAACTTTATCTGCTCAGCTGTTGAATATGGTTAGGATGTGTAGAAAGGATGGATGAAAGCAAATTTACGAAAGAAGTATGCGGTATGCCGAATTTTCCTTTCATTTCATTTCATTTCATTTCATTTCATTTCATTTCATTTCATTTCATTTCATTTCATTTCATTTCATTTCATTTCATTTCATTCCATTTCATTTCATTTCATTTCATTTCATTTCATATCATTTCGTTTCGTTTCATTTCACGGCCTCACAGAATACCGACGTGAAGCAACACTTGCGTTGTGTTTCGTCGTGTAAGTGAGGTTACAGGAGGCCCAATTACCCTTCCCTTCCTCAATCTCCCTGAATCCCCAACGATACTCAAACTCCTAATCCCCAAAAGGCCGGTAACGCACTTGTAACGCCTCAGGTGTCCTTGGGCGACGCCGATTGCTTACCATCAGGTGATCCGTCTGCTCGTTTACAGGCTTACACCATAAAAAAATCTTATTAGTTACAAATTTAACTCTACAGTTCTAAATCTATAATTATAGTTCAATCTATAGTACACATAGAACAAATAAGTACAACAGACCCTGCGCATAAACATACAAAAATAAAATACACGTGTACCATATACCGAACACAATTCCAGACTCAGTGCTACTACTAACTGAGATTTAAAAAAAACCCGTAATACTTTGCCCGACCCGGGAATCGAACCCGAGACCCTTTGCCCGGCAGTCGCACTTGCGACCACTCGGCCAATGAGGCAGTCTTTCATATCTTTCACATTTATAATATTAGTGTGATTTAAGAATATTATAGAGGATTGAAAACATAACTGATAGAATAGTTCTTTTATAAATGTCATTTATAAAAACTGACTTCAACTCTCTCTTCTTAGTTGTTAATTAATATACTAAAAACCTTGTCCTAAGTGTAATAAACGTCGCGGAGAACCTAACGGGTAACCGGGGCTCCGGCTCGACGTGCAGGAGAAGGAACGGGGTGGTTTTTAGTCAGTAAGAGTCTGACACTCCCTCCCGCCTCACCCAGGCGGGAGCAGTCATTCGATGACTTTCCCCCATTAAAAAAAGACCTTATACAGTTAGATGCACTAGGAAAGATGTACTAGGAAAATGGTGAATGATGTACTAGGAAAGCCCTGTATCACAGGCGAAAAATCATATTATATACACATTGTTGATCGAAGTACAAGTCATACTGCGAACCTCATTATTTTAAATCGGTTGAAAATAGACGTTACATTACACATTACTCTTTGTGTAAATCTTTGTAAAAATACTAAAAACATTTGCCCTACAGTTGCATATCTACAGTACTAGAACAACTAAGTACTACAGACTCTGCGCATACAGAAAATTACATCAATAAAGACATGCTTCGCCCCTCCATACCAGCGCGAAACTTCAGTGTCTTTCCACAAGCGAAGGGGAACGGTCGCTCGCTCGCTATGTGTTAAAATAAATACATACATTAATAATCTCGGTCGATTAAAAGATATTATAGTAATATATAAAAATGTTGGTCGTTTGGTGTCTTTTGGGTATCAGTGGGTATGTCAATGGATTTGCATTGCCCTTTGAAGGACTTTATAAGCTGGATATTATTCATTACAATGATTTTCATGCTAGGTAAGTGATTTTTGTATATTTTTTGTAGTCTTAGTTGTATTTTAAGGTTGCTTTTCGTCTGAATATTTGATAAGAAAGCGTTCTTTTGGAGGTTTCTTGTGGTATTGGTTTTTCTTATACGTTTTCATTTGGTAGCAAAATGAAAATTCATGAAACTGATCTCATTTCTACGTTTTTCTTATTTCGTTTTAAGTGGAAATTATTGATTCTCTATGGCAATAATGCTTCGAATGCAGTTTTACGCGAATTGACCTAGAAATTAGTGAAATGTTAAAGGTCAAAGGTCAATGACATATGCGGACAACTGTAGCGCCAAAAGTCATTCGATTTTACATAATAATATAACACTTTCTTTTACTTATTTAGAGCAGTAGTAAAGTGACAATATTTAAAGCAATGAATACTGGTATTTTTTCATGACCCAGTTCTATTGTGTACAGAACAAAGTAACCATCTTCTATACAGATAAATATAATATTGTAATACTGAAATAACCGCTTGTTCCTACATACAATCTATACATATAATAAAATCGTAGCAAAGTGAGAATTGTATATACATCGAATATTTTTTAAAAAGAATGCTTTGGGCTTGATCTACAGTCGATACCGAAGCCAAAAATATGGTTTTTAGAATTTTCGTCTGTTTGTCTATATACATATATATGTCCGGGATGAACTCAAAAAGTGCTGCATGAATTTACTTCAAATTTTGCATGAATATTACTAACAGCTCGAGTCAATTAATAGGCTACATATTATTATGCTATCAACTACGGAGGAGGAGCTGTGAATCACTATTCTACACGGACGAAGTCGCGGGCTTAGCTAGTATGAATATACACACGATACATAAATAACAATTACAATTTTTATCTTTCTATCTGTTTGTACTGGTTAATTTGTGAAATGGCTGGATCGATTTTAACGGGACTTTTATTGACAGGGTAGCTGATGTACTAAGCAGTAACATAAGCCTTACCTTACATACCTTTATTTTAGACTAGCTTTTACCCGCGGCTTCGCTCGCGTCACAAAAGGATGAAAAGTAGCCTATGTGACATGTACCAATACACACAGCGCCATCTATACCAATACTTTTGTTTTTCCTCGGGTATATCACATTTTTGCGGAATAAAAAGTACCCTATTATTTAATACAGCCTACTAACTTTAACTCTTCAAAATTTCAAAGCAATCGCTTAAGGAGTTACGGCGTGAAAGCGGAACAAACAAACAAACTCACTTTCCGATTTTATAATATTATATTAAGTAAGGATAATCGCAGACGAAGTTGCTGTTTCAGCTAGTCTTATATTATATTCTAAACTAATTTATAACGCTGTAGTTTATTTGAATGTCGCTAATTTCTAAGACTGCTAGTTGGAATTAAATAGTTCTTTTTGTATTGTATAGTCCATATATCAAAGAAAACTATAGGCTATAAGACATTACACTAGGATTAATAGAAGCAGCAAGTGAAACCGCATGGCGTAACTAGGTATTGATAAACATAGTACGTTCCAAAATACTTTATCATTTAGAACATTTTAGAATATCATTAATATGAAGGGCCAAATTAAAAGTACCCTTAACCGACGAGCATGCATCAAAAGATTGATGAAGCGAAAGAGGTATGTAGGAATCGTAGTAATTGGTGTTATATAGTATCTGCCTGGTCGTGGTGGCCCGGAGGTTTAAGACGCCCACTTCTCATGCATGAGAGTGCGGGTTCGAAACCTACCAACGGCAAGTACCAATGTGACTTTTTCCGAGTTATATGTACTTTCTAAGATTATTTAGACAGCACTGACAAACGGTGAAGGAAAAACATCGTGAGGAAACCTGGACTTATAATTTCTAATTATACCTAAGTTTGAAATCGCCAACCCGCATTGAGCAAGCGTGGTGATTAATGCTCTAACCTTCTCCGTGTGAGAAGAGGCTTTGCTCAGCAGTGGGCATTTATAGGCTGTTGATGATGATGATGATAGTATCTGCCTGCCCCCATGGGAGACAGACGTAAAGTTATGTGTAACAGCTGACTTTAGTTTTTAGACAAGCATGCTGAAAAAAGGCGGAGATAAGGTTACTTAGAAATGATTGAAGTTTGCTCAGTTTCCAGAATAACATAACATAACATAACATCACGCCTTTTATCCCCGAAGGGTTAGGTAGAGGTGTACACAGAAGTAACACCCACTTTTCACTATTTATGTTCCGCGCAGCGTGTCGTGGGTTCGATTCTCTTACGGGACAACTCTTTGCGTGATCCACAAATTGGTGTTTCGGGTCTGAATGTCATGTGTATGTGAACTTGTATGTTTGTAAATGCACCCACGAAACAGGAGAAAACCCTAGTGTGGGGCAACGTTTTATTTAAAAAGAATATTTATCGAAATCGTTAGAGCCGTTTCTGAGAAAGTGTTTATGACTGTATAAACATGAATACAAATATTGGTCGTGTAATGGAAGTGATTAATGTTAATGACTATTTTATAGACGTAGTTATGGTGTTTAAAGGAAACAATAATTCAATTACAATAATATAATTAACAACCCACGTTGTGTATATTTAAATAATAATAATTAGGTACTACGTACTCTCATCTCCTGCTAGACTGCTAGGTATTGATTATTCCATGATGTATTATAATCTTAACCTTTTTCAATAAATGGACTATCCAACAGAAAAATAATAAGGTAGCTGCCTAAATTTTATTTTAATGTCCGTCTGGTAGATTAATTTAAAAGATTAGACATCTATTTTTTCTTTTCTCACAAAATTAAATATTTTCGGCGGTATAAAAATCTGAAATATCGTGTACACACAATACGTTATATTTTGTAGCACTTAGTGACGTAACGACCTCCCACTAAACCACCTAAACTTAACTCCATTTATTTTATCTAAGTATTGTAACTTTATACGACAAAATAAAAAAAATACGTGTCGAACATTCTTTCATTATCTAACTGACAGACTAATTCGATTTTTAATTTTCATTCCTTAGCCTACCCTATTATTCAACTCGAACCAGCCGTTCTGGAGATTTGCGCATTTAAACTAACAAACTAAACTAGTCTCAGGTCTAGGCAAGAACTAGTACCTTAATATTCTAGTAATAAGCCTAACTGTTGATCTCAAGGCTTTAGGTTCGATCAAGGTTATACTTAAAACCCTAATTGGACAAAGTATGTTAATAGTTGTCCCATAAAAGAATTTGGGTCAAAGTAAAAAGGTTTAACATGGTATTAATATTCATAAACGACATTATTTGTGTTTTTATAATAACTATCGTGAGACATGCTAAATAAACTAAACGTTACGAGTTACTCACGTAAATATAAGTACTGAGAAAAGCTCTACTGGTTTCGAGTCACAAAGGGACTCTTCCTTATGAGCAGCGTGCGCGGTTGCGGCATCAGACATCAGTTGGTTATAATGACGTTTTTTTTATTAAGTTATATTGTATATCCTAGGACTGCCTCGATGGCTGAGTGGTCGCAAGTACGACTGCCGCGCAAGGCGTCTCGGGTTCGATTCCCGGGTCGGGCATAGTACTACTGGGTTTTTAAAAAAAAATCTCAGTAGTAAAACGGAGTCTGGAATTGTGCCCGGTAAATGGCAATAGGCTCATCCCCTATTATATGGGATTCATAACATAAATAGTAAAAAGTGGGTGTTACATTGTTACAATCTACACCTTTGCCTACCCTTTCGGGGATAAAAGAAGAGATGTTATATATGTATGTATGTTTAAAAATCTATCTTCAACGCGCTCTTTTTTGAAATCGGTTTAAAACGATGTGGTGTATGCGGTCAAGATGTATAATCTAAAGATCATGATACGTTCTCACTGATAAGTAGTTAGTAGGTAGGCTATTGACGTTATTACCATCACTCAAAGGCGTGAATTTCACCTAATATTAAAACCATTTAAATACACATTGTTGACTATTTTGTCGATTAGAACATGCCAAACAACATTAAGCCTTAATATCTATTATATAGAGCTGATCATGCCTTTGTACTATTGACATGTAATACCCATCTTTAAAGATAAGAGACTCCGTATCTATTGTTATCAATAACAACGTTAACGTAAGATAATGTTTCGCTTAATATTTGTACGAATCATTGGCTGCATAATTTGTTATCTTATCTAATGTACTAATATTTTGAAGGTAAATAATTAGAAAAAGGAAGAAGTAGTAGCACGGAGTCTGGATTTGTGCCCGGTATATGGCAATAGGCTCACCCCCTATTACATGGGACTCATAACATAAATAGTGAAAAGTGGGTGTTACATTGTACAATGGCATAATGTGCACCTCTGCCTACCCCTTCGGGGATAAAAGGCGTGATGTTATGTTATAATTAGAAGGGTTTTCTTTCTATTTGCATATGTAGAAGAATAGGCTAATTTCCAAAATTTTATTTTTATGTCCGTCTAGTAGATTATTTTAAAACATTAGACACCTATTTTTTCTTTTCTTACAAAATTAAATGCTTTCGACGATATAATTGAGATTTGACATGTCGTGTGACGTCATAGCGTGCTACAAAATGTAGCACGTTGTGACGTAACTACCTCCCGCTCTTTAACTTAACTCCATTTTATTTAAGTATTGTAACTTTATACGCGTAAATAAAAAAAATACCTGTGTAATATTATTTCATTATCTAACTGACGGACTATCAATTCGATTTTTAATTTTCTAACCTTGGAAACTACCCTATTATATTTTTACATCAATACGTATGTAATTTTACATCAATCTTTCTAAGTATGTACTAGTCATCTGACTGCCTCGTTGGCCGAGTGGTCGCAAGCGTGACTGCCGGGCAAAGTATTACTGGGATTTTTTTAGACTGCGTGCTATTAATGAGTCAGTAGTAGCACGGAGTCTGGAATTGCTGCCTTCTCGCAACCCAGCCATCGCGAAGGACACTCCGGGTGTCGGTCGATCGCGGGACGATCTCCGGCCACCGTAAGCG